TAATTAATGGTATATTACAAATATTGCTTCAAAACTTGATTGCCTTGTTTGTTTGACCATTTGTTTGAAAGTGAAAGACAATAGAAAGTTTATTATCCACCTTTAATATCTCAAAAAATGAATTTTAAAAATTTCATATAAATTGAAATCCTTAATAAAAAACGATGTCATCAAGTGGGCCATGATGTTGATATATATTAACAAAAAAGAGCCTTGTCGTTTCTTCTCCAAAATTTCATTTTCATATAGAACAAAATATATCATCTTTGTATGTCATTTTGCAACAATATAGATAATATGAAATGTAGCTAATGATGTTAGATTAGTGATGAAATCCATTGATATTGAAGACCATGGTTGCTTTGGGATTAGTAATGGTTGTAGAAGTCCTTAAGGATGATGTCAAAAATTCTTAGAACTTGATCACATGTCACATGAGATGCCTAAGTCCTTCGTGGTCTTTTACATTTGAAGCCACTTAAAATTTCAAGAAATAAACTCAAATATTTTGTTAATTTCAAAAGGTTTTACAATTAAAAAATCATAACATGATTGAATAAAAAGTTGCATTGGTCTTTTTAGAATATATAAACAAACTTTAAAATACAAAAGATCTTCCATAAACTTGAACGTATTATTATCAAGGTACTCATTGTTATTACAAACTAATGAGTCGTTAGTTGATGCTATAGAAATTTGTTAAAAAAAACTTGAATTAAAAAATGTAACCATATAAGTAGCACAAAGACAAAATTGTTCTAACTTCACGACAATGATATATAACTAATCAAATGTTGCTTTGTGAGCCTTGGGAGTAAGATATGATCTCTTTAATAAAACATTTGATAGTCTTTATTGCTTTACTTGGTTGTTATATAATAACAAAATTAAAATAAGATAATGACATATTTCAATGAGCTTGGCAGTGATTCAAAATCTAAGCTGACAAGAAATATTCTAAATTTTTGTGATCTATATATATAGTCACAAGATCTATAGCACCTTCTAATAAATGATGTCATTTTTAAAAAGTATCTACAATTATAAGAAGTTTTTTATTGTGAATTTTATAATTAATCTCTCTAGCTGAAATTTTCTTAAAGTAGAACACTATCGGATGGAGCTTTCTATCTTTTTTCATTTGCGACTATATAGCTCCTAATACAAACTCAAAAGCATCAATCTCTAAGTAGAAGGCCTTCTTAAAATCTAGATGTAATAAGATTGGAGTTGTAATAAAAGCTGCCTTCAAATCTTGAAAAGTCTTTTGTACTTAAGGTCCCCATTCCAATTTGTCTTTAGATGTCAACCGAATGAGAGGAGCAACAACTTAGGAGCAATTCTTGATAAATATCCGATAGAAATTAACAAATCCATAGAAAAATTGTACATCTTGTATTGTCTTTAGAATTGTCTACTCCGTTACAACTTGACTTTTTTTTAGTTCCATTAACAAGCCTTTATTGGATATAATATTTTCAAGAAATTATACTTTTAATTGATGGAATACATTTTTTTCTAATTTGGCATATAATCTTATATCTCATTATTTTTTCAAGACTAATCTTATATGATCTTTATATTCTTTATGTTCTTCAAGAGTCTTGGAGTAGATTAAGATATCAACAAGATAGCAAACAAAAAAATTATCTAAAAATTCTTGAAAAATATTATTCATCAAATGCTAGAATATAACTTGAATATTTGTCAATCCAAAAGGCATGATATTATATTCAAAATATAAATACTTTATCTAAAACGTTGTCTTCCATTCATCTCTTTCTTTAATCTATACCAAATTATATACTCTATGGAGATCTATTTTGGTATAGATCTTTGCTTAATTGAATTTTTTTAAAAGCCTTGATATCAATGGTAATGGATAATAAATTTTTACCATTATTTTATTGAAGCCACAATAATCAATACATATTTACAAAGATCTATCTTTTTTTTTTTACAAAAAATATTGATATACCTGCTACAGATTTAAAATGCCAAATAAAGTTCTTTGCAAGATTTTTGTTGATGTAATCCTTCAATACCAAAATTTTATTATATAATAAGTTATAGATTGGGCCAAATGGTGGTTAAACCCCTTCTTTAAGATTAATGGCACTATCATATGGCCAATGCTTTAGTAATTTATCAGCTTTTTTTTTTTAGAAGGCATCTTAAAACTCCTTCTACAATGCTAAGATAGCTACTAGCAAGCTTGCTTCTTCACGAACTAGAGTTTCATAAATAGCAAATAGAATTTTCTTCTTAGTCATCTTTATAAAAGCACTTGCTCTAAAAAATAAAGGCTTTGTTGTTAATAACTTCTTAATAGGTTTTGCCCAAAAAGATTTTATAGAGAATTCAATCTTATGAAACCTCCAATCTATAGATGGAGTCTATCATTCTAATCATGAAAGTCCTAGAATGATAAGATTGAATGGAATTCTAATAATATTGAATATTATTTTGCTACTATGACCGTCAAATAACATTTCTAGCAGAATAGTCTTGTGAGTAACATTGCTTGAAGATAAAGGTCAACTATCTATTACTTCTATATGTATAAATTTTGACTTTTATACTAAAAGAATTTTATGAAGTTTGAAAAACTCCTCTTTGAAAAAGCAAGTAAATGCTCATGACTTTTAATAACCCATTTCTTTGAAGTTTGTATTGGCCAGAAAATAAAAGTATAATAAAACAACAAGTAGGTTGGGTAGCAAGAGAGGGACCTTGATGAATTTGAGGTGTTGAAATGTCCAACTGCACAATCCCTATTGTCATTGGCTTCTTCATTTTTCTTCAACAATTTTCCTCCTAGTCTTGGTTGTATATTGTTTCTTCAAACAATTTTCAGATTTGTGACCTTTACTACAATATAAGCATAGGCCTTGTTGAAATCAACCCTTCTTCTTCTTTGTTGTAAGAGGATTGAATCATATTGCATCAATTTGCATATCCTCAGTTCTAAAGTATAGAAGTAATTGTATTTGTTGAAGTAGCAAAGTACAAATTTGGAGTGTGTTATTTTATCAAAGTCCACAAGCATTGATCTTAACGATGTTGAAATAATTGATTATCACACTTCACAACTTAGCTGATAGCTTGATTGAATATTTGAGGATCAAGTAATCATAATAATAGGTCTTTTACATTATTCCTTAGTTCCTAATAGATTTGGCTCATAAGATCTTGTTTATCCCAATTCATGTCAAAAGCCAATTACCTAAAATTAAATACAAAATGTGACCCTAGACGTAATAAACAAATCTTTCTTATTGTCCATTAGATCTTATCATGTTTTCTAAGTGCTTCCACAAATGCTTCTAAAAAAGCGTCAAAATTACTCAAAATTGGAGATCTCTTCTCAAATAAATAAGCAAACAAAGTTAAGGCTTATCCTATCACCAAGGTTCCAACTAAATCAACTTGCAAATCTTTTGTTGAATAGTCTTCAGGTTGTAAAAAAATTACCAATCAAATTTGGTTAACAAACCTTCAAAACTTCAAACATGTGTCATCAAAATTTTCTAAAAGACTAATTTGAGGCTCCTTACATTGTTGAATAGGTGAATTTTACTATTGAGGTATATGTACCACTACCTCTTTGGATGTACAAGCTTAACAAAGTGGTTGCATCATAAACTCATCTACTCCAAGACTTCCATTATTATGAAATCTTGTAAAAAAATCCCTCAATTTAAGCAGTTTTATTAACTAAAGCATTCAATGTCTTCATAATAACATCTAACTTGGACTTGAGAGATCTAACCATACTAACATCTTTACCTCCAACCATCCTGAAAAAATTAAATTAAAATTAAAATTAAACAATGTCAGTTTAGAAGAGGGTACTCTACAACCTCTAAAGCGCCTAGATGCCTTCAAGAAAAGAGATAATTCACTCTCTAGTAAAAAGAATCAATCTCTAGTTTTGATAAGAAAACAATCTTGACAAATTATCATAGATATACTATACATGAGATCAAACAAGAAATTAAATGGATGAGTTTCAACAAAAAAGCTAACAAGAACTTGATTAAACCTAATGAATACAAGCTCAACACTAAGGAAGATGAATTACAACTCCTAAAGATATGTGGTCAAGACTAAGGATCTTCTTAGTATCAATTCTTATATATACTAGGTATCGAGAAGCTTCTTAAGAAGTTTTCATGTTGCTTAAAAATGAAGCAACCTTAGGAAGTTCCTTGAGAAGTTCCCATGTTGCTTGAAGATGAAGCAACTTTAAACTAGAACCTAATAGAATATTTTAAGAACATTCCTATAATCTTCTTGTTGGATGTCCGTGACAATTGATACTTGTTGTATGGACCAATCAGAAAATCTAAATAATTCCTCACACCAATACATTTTTATAACTCCTTAACCCTGTCTAATTGTTTGTAAATAACTTTGTTTGTATGCTTGTGCGTTTTTCTTTTCTTTTCTTAAATCTCCAAACCCTTAACTCTGCACCCCTTCTACCAATATTTCAAGGGCTCCCAACAATTGGTTTCCATTCTCTGAGCTGTGGTCCCTAAAGAATGAATGAATGTAAAAAGATCAGAGTGCAAGCTGGGTACTTGTACTTCAAAATCGGCAAACACAGAAGTGCACATCATAATTATAACCATAGTAATAATAACCTTCACGTAAACCACTGATTCACAGTGTTGTAGGTTGTACTGCAAGACTTTGAGCTTGATTGCAAGTACAGTCTACAGCATTGGGATTCTACTAACGTCATGAATGAGCTACGAACTCCATGAAATGTTATAAGTCTAACGAAATGGCAGTCCACCTTTTGTTCAACAATTCCTGAAAAAAATGCTATGAAGACCACAGCCACTTGCCAAATTGACTTTCAGGTCTCTCGCCAACTATGCTCATCAATCCATGAACTGTACACTATACTTGTATCTGTATCCATCAATATACTTTTTGCCATTCAAACGTCCAAGTAATAATTCCATTCAGTTTCCTGTTACATTCTGCAATTGATCGTAAAAATATTCCGTATTATTAAGGTCCCATCATAACCAATCTATGAACAACTTGCGAACTCCACAAAAAGTTTATTGTAGAAATCGAACAAAAAATGGAGAGAAATTTTTCACTCTCAATTAGTTCCACAAAGCCCTTCATGTAATAAAAAGCCACAAGCACGTCTTGTTGACTTCTGCGTTGACCACCAATAAGGCTTATCATGTCATACACCACGCATACTACCCATGCCTACCCATGCACTATTTACCACAGATTTCCAGGTATCAATCCCATTAACTATCCTACTAGACTTTGCACCTTATTCGAAATTTTTCACTCTCAATTAGTTCCACAAAGCCCATGTTATTGAGATTCTATTGCCAATCTGTGAACAACCTGTGAACTCCACGAATTGTTCATTGCAGCGGTCGGACAAAGAATGGTAGGAAACCTTTCGCTCTCAACAAGTTCTGGAAAGCTTGTCGTGTAATGAAGGCCACGACTCTCTTGCCGTGTGAGAGCGCTGTTCACAATCAGGTAGGACACCGATACCAAGTTGCGCATCTCACAAACCTCTAAGCTGACCATGGTAGGTTTCCAACCATGTCTGAGGAGTTGTGCCTCCCATTCACACTCCAGCTCCCTTAACTCCGCTTGAGCACGCTTGAGACGCTCTGTAGACCGAACAATTCCGACAAAATCCCACATTGCTTGTTGCAATCGCTTCCTTTTCAAAGCTGTAATGCGGAGAATCTCATCCATCTGCAAGTCATTTGAAGCTGAGGGAGCAGTAGGACGAGGCCACTCCTTCGCTTGCTTCACCTCCGATCGTCCAATGTTACTCTGAAGTGCGTAAGCAACTGAAGGCTCGACAGCTCTCTCCGCAAACACTAAAGCCTCCAGTAAGGAATTGCTGGCAAGTCTATTTGCACCGTGCAAACCGGTACAAGTAACTTCACCAGCGGCAAAGAGCCCCTTGATTGAGGTCTCTCCCACCAAACCAGTCTGTACGCCTCCACACATGTAATGTGCAGCAGGTACCACAGGGATGGGTTGCTTCGTAATATCCAGCCCATACTTCAGGCACTCAGCAGCAATATTTGGAAAGTGAGACATTATCTCGCTGGCTGGTTTATGGCTGATATCCAGATAAACGAATTTCTCATTACGTTTCTTGAGTTGATCATCAATGCTCCGGGCCACAACATCCCGAGGTGCGAGCTCCGCGCGAGAGTCATATAATGGCATAAATCTCTCCATACTTTGGTTATACAAAATTCCTCCAGCTCCACGCACAGCTTCCGTAATCAGAAATGCATTGTCCCGTTTGGCAGGTTTTATTGGTAAGCCTTCATCCGCCAAAGCCGTGGGATGAAACTGTACAAATTCCATGTTAGACACCACTGCACGAGACCGTTGTGCCAGAGCAACTCCATCGCCGGTTGCCACCAAAGGATTGGTCGTAGTAGGATAAACGTGCCCTGCACCTCCTGATGCTAACATCGTAACTCCGGCTAGAAAACGCATAACTTTATTTTTCTGCGTATCTAGAGCATCCACACCATAGCATACTACACTGTCCCCGTCCTGAAGAGTGAGAAGATCCACAGCAGCATGATGTTTAAAAATTACAATGTCCGGATTTTGAGAAACGGTAGTCAAAAGAGCTCTCTCGATCTCTCGCCCAGTCATATCAGCCGCATGAACAATGCGATGATGAGAGTGGCCTCCTTCCCTAGCTAGATGGAGCTGACCATCTTCACTTTGATCAAACAATGCACCCCAAGCCATCAACTCTTTCACACGCTCTGGACCTTCTCGACACACGACCTCTACAGTCTCCTCATCACATAAGAAAGCACCAGCGACGATCGTGTCTCGGATGTGACTCTCTACAGAATCTTCGGGATCTAAAACAGCACTAACACCTCCCTGTGCATACACAGTGTTACTCTCGTGCGGTTCGGACTTCGTGAGTATTGCAACTGAACCGTACTTGGCAACTTCCAGAGCATATCTCAAGCCTGCTATTCCACTTCCGATTACGAGGAAATCGAAGTATTTCGTGATCTCCTCCTCTTCGCCATCACCAGATAAGCTCGCTTCTGCCTGGATGTTACGATTCGAGGCGGCAATAAACTTTCTAATTTCATTTCTCCTGTCCCGCCCGTTTAGCTGCAAGAAAACACCACAGAGATTTATCGGAATAGCGTTCAAAAAAAACATGGGCTTTTATGCTGCATGAATTGATAAGATACGCGACACAAAGTCATCAAGGCTGCACTGACCTGACTTCTATCCTAACTCACAATTCGCAGAACAGAGCATTACAACTGGAGATGTCTGCTATTCTAACGTCCAAAGATGAAGGGTGGAACAAATCTAAATAAATAGATAAAACACAAAAGAAAAAAAAACAACAAATCCACGAAGCGCACACGAATGTTTAATTGAAGATTATGCAACACAGACACTGACAGGGCAAAAGATATCAAGAATCAAGAAACAGGTAGTTATTGCAATCGCACTTACTGCATCACAACAGACGGTCGCAATATTAAATATAAAAATAAATAAATAAAGAAATAAATAAATAAAACTGATGCAGATCCTTACTATGTCCGATTCCAAAACACCAAAACCAAAATCGGAAAAATAAGAAAAATCACACTCATCTCTCACCTTAGCGTGCGAGCAATAATTCCCACATTTCCAGCAACTCGCCAGGAACATATCCCCGGACGCGACACTCGGCAAGATCGGCAACTTGGAAAGGCCTTGCGCACCCCTGAAAATCATCAAAGGACCACCATTCCCCGCCGCTGCACCAGCAAAGGCCGTCACCACACCCGAATTGGCGTTCGCGAGCACGGCAGTACTTGCCATTTCCCGCACTGAGGTCAGTTGGCCTCCAACGAGCGTCATTCTCCACCTCCTCCCCCTCCCCTCGCTTCTATCAATCCCCGGCCTCCTTCCTCCCGTCACTAATCGCACCACCACCACCACCAATCGCACCAACAACAGGCAGCGCTGAGCCACGGCGGCCTCAAAGATTGCAAGGCAGCACAAGATGTTCGGAGTCTTCTACGCCGCCCATCTCTTCATGGCTTCCAGAAGCCGCTCTCGCCACCCTCCGTCCTCGTCCACCGCCGTCGTCCTTCGCTCGTCATCTATCCCGACGGAAAACGACGACCACTCGTATATCAGTCGATATTCGTCGTTGATTGAAGTACGTCAAGCTGAGAATAGAAAAACGGTGGCAGGCGGCGCATACTGGGGACAAAAGACCCACCCTTCTTCTACGTCGAACTTCTCACGAAACTTACACCCCACCCCCCCGTTCACGAAAATCCGAGTACGTCATACAACGGAATCGAATGCCATTGATTCCCCGATCGTGATGGAATCCCTCGCACGGAGCGTGGTGGTTTCCCTTGTGAAGAGAAGGACGGGAGCTTCCTCGAACGCTCTCCCTATACATGTATATTCCACAATTCCAACTTATTCCAAACTCTACAGGAATCACTCATTTTTGGGGGGTTCCAGTCTCTTCTTCGTTCTTCTTCTTCGCTTAGTTGGTTCACTTGGTTCGCTAACTCCACTACCAACGCTGTAGAGCAACCCAGTTGGGTGGTTCGCTTGGCTGTGGATCTCCAGTGGTAGGGCCCGTTTTCCTTTGAGTCCGTATCAAATTTGGTCCAGGAAAATTCTGGTGGCTCTTTTGGGAGCTGACCTGTTCTGCATTAGTGGGCTTTTCGAAACCATTTGGAAAGTGGAACCCCCCCCTTTTCTCTTATCCAATGATGGTTTCTGGTACTTCAAAAGCCAACAGAAAATTAAAATTGGGTGGTGAAGTCATCAGATTGAAAGCTGTTCTGGACTCACAAGAGTTTGCCTATCATACTAACACATTACATAGTATACATGTGTGAGCAGGCAGAGTATTCCTTTAAAAAATGTTCTCCACCATAATTTAAAACAATAATGACATAAATAAATGAATTATAGAAAGCAAATGGTGGCATGAACGTGAGTAAATGTGTTCAACCAACCATGTCATTATTCAAGGCATTAGCCATGGGTTTGTTGTGGCTAAATTCATCCTTGTTGAATGAAGGATTGTAATAAATATTAAAGCATAAAATCACACACTGTGTATTATAGTGTGTTAACAAAATACCACAAAGCTAAATATGTATTGAATTGTAGTAGTGATTTTATTCGTTTATTTAATACCTATCATGGGTGTTTGTAAGATTATTGCAATAATATCACGTGGATTTAATGACATAGGGTTAGTTACACATGTTTTTAAAATAATCAAGTCTATCAACAACTCCTCAAGTTGATCCTCGTATGTAGTAAGTAAAACACCCTGATAAAATATTTCATGGATTCTTCGACAGAAATCCAGAATAATCTCACAAGAGGGGCCTGAATTCCCATATGCTTCTCACAGACATTACAAACCCAATTCTAAAAATAAATAATAATAATAATAATAATAACTTACTCAATTGATAAGAAGAGTGATTTTATTTCATTTTTATTTTGCAGGGTTGTCGGGTTGCAAACAAACGTTATATTCTGCATGTGCTCTCGAGATATGTTTACTCAATTGTTCATGGCGTCTTGAATCTCAAGTCATTGATTTCATAGACTGACAGTTTACACGACCCCCGAATAAGCAAACAAAAATAGGATTCTGAAAAATGGGTTTACTGCTTCTATACACACACAATTTAAAACATCATGTGATAAAAGAAATGAAAAAAATTGGATATTGAATAAACACACACACACATACATACATACATATATATATATATATATATAGCGAGAGAGAGAGAAGATTTTTTTTTTTTTTTTTTTTTTTTTTTAATTCTGTTTTCCTTCTCCACCCTGTTCATAGATTATGATGGACACCCTTTCTTTTCTTTTCTTTTTTCTTTTTTTTTTGTACTTTTTTTTTTTTTTTTTTTTTCTCGAATGTGGACACAGAATTACGGTGTGACGCCGGGGAATCTCCGAGATCCAGAAGATTCCTACGTAGTCAGGAAAACTGGGCCGAGCGTCAATCTTTGTGACTACATCTCCCGAGTCGCACAGGACTGGATGGCAAGCAGTTGCAGCTCCGTCGCGAATTGCGATTTTGGGAGAAAAAAATAATTTTTACGATTGGCAGGCGAAAGAGATAACTGAATTCCGTCGTCCGCCCTGCTGCAGCGCTCATTTCGTGGCTGGCCCGGACTCCTCGAAAGCCGATGTGCTACAGAGACTGGAAAAGCGCATTCTCGAGGTGGCTTTCCCCATTGAAAGGGATTCCTGAGCGTGCGTGGCCTCGAATCTGCATCACGTATTTGGTCGATTGATCGGACGCTTCCTGGTCCGATTCCTGTGAACTAGCGTGTCAGATTCTCACAGGCGAACCCATCCCCACCTTGCAACAGGCCTGTGGCTTCCAAGTTGTTCCGGAATCCATTGATTGGTATCGTATCTCCCCCCCTCGCCCCCAACTGTTGTTTGCTTGCGACGCGAGCTCTCGATGGCATCTAGCTTAGTTTTGCTCGCCGAGGGGTCGTCGTTGTCGTCGTCGTCGATGAGTCCATGATCTCACGTGAGGGTTCCTCCATGATCGCAACCCTAATTCTGTGCCACACACAGCGAATGCCTCTCCAACACACACGCGCGTGTGAATGCGTTCAGAAAATGACTCTCTTCTTCTTCTTCGTTGTCAAATCCATGTCTTGATCGTTCAGTAGATTTCGTCTTTTGATTTATTTATTTATATTTTACTTTTTTAGTTCTTCAATTTCATTATTTTACAAAATTACGAAGAGAATAGATAATGGTTCAATTTTGATGAGGTTTAGACAATGAATCTTATTATGTTTAAATTATGTTTATTGCCATAAGTATGCCATAATTTTCTCTGAGTTACTGTTATTATTACTATTTTAATCCAAATTTTTTATGCCTAATATATTTTTCTTACTATGCTCAACTAAATAATTTTACCCTATAGTAATTGTTATAAGCTTAACATATTTTAGATTTTTTGGTTATAGCTTTCTTAAACATGAATAAATCAGATGCCATCTTAGATTTCATCTATTTTACTTTTGAAAAAAGTTATCATTACATTCTAAAGTATCAAGTACCAAGAATAAAACATTTATCTCTTATAAAAGAAGTATTGTTTAACTCAGGTAGATTATTTTTTAACTCTATGAGTATATTAAATTTGAAATACAAGGCAGTAGACCCTTCTGCTATTACATTTATTCTAATAAAATTATAATTTAGAAAAGGTTTTTAAAAGCATCATGTGTTTGAAGTAAGAATAGTTAATAAATTTCAAGATTGTAAAGTTCCAAATAAATATATGTACGAACATTTTCAAAGATTCAATATGATAACCAAGGACTAAATCTGCTATTGTTAAAAACAACAACTAATTTCAATCATGTTACTGCTTTTTATGTTTCAATCTACAAGTGCTTTGGTTGAGCTATAATCATACATTATAAATTTCATATATATTACATGTTTCTACACAAATAACATGTTGAAAGAATTTTATTTAATGTGTGTGTGTATATATATATATATATATATAGATATAAATATAAATAAAGTATTTGACTGATTTTTGTGCCAATTATATTTCTCATGTTTATGGTTTCAAAAAGATAATAAAATCGTATAACCAATAAATAAAAACTCGAAACAAGCATACAGAAACCTCAAAAGGAAAGGAAATCTCAGGAATAAGTAAACCAGTCCAAAAGGATGAAGGAAAGGGCGAACGTAAAGTCTGATGCAGGCAAAAACCAGAAGAAAAATGGTATTTTGAAAGGAGGGTGCTCGTAGTAACTGGGAATCAGAAAAGACTATGGATGACAAATAAACTGGTGGACTTGTTGTTTACTTAGACGTCAATATTGACTTTTCACAAACAAAACGAGCGGACTGCACAGAAATACACGAGGATTTCTCAGATTCTTGTTTCACTTGTAGAATGTTATAAGCAAGTTGAATATAATTTCCTCAAAAAACAAGTCATTTGGGTGGTTAGCATCAGCCTAATCTACAGCAGTCTGTTAACGATGTAAATCTGATGATTAACCCTTTCTTAAGGATACCGTTGAAGTTGTGAGTACTTGGGATTGTACACAATGGAGCACGTGCGTCATGGCTTGCACATTTTACTGAAAGTACGAATGCCAAAAACATCATTTTTGTTTCATTTTCTCAAAGATTGGAAAATGAAATCTGATTGCTTGCCCTTGCAATTCCACCACAAACTATACTGTTGGGACAATGTTTGGGAACAAGTCCAGGCTACGCAACCTCTGAGAATTACACTGTTCGAAAGGAACAGCAAATTGCACACATGTTCTCTGCTCACATGAGTCCTCAGGTGACATAGACATCCGCCTTGTGGTTTATCAAATACAATATTTAGCTTGAAAAAGGGCTGTCGTCGGAGCAAAAGGTTGTATCTAAGATGAGATGTTAACTTTCTTAAGTTTACAGCAGCTGCCTTGGAAGCTTCAGCAAAACAAAGCCTCGTCACCCACATTTCGCTTAATATAAATTCAATTTTAACAGGCTTGGATAAACTTCATATATGTCTTACATGCTTGAAATTCCATTTAAACCTATATCATGTATTTTGTCTTCTACAACTTCATTTTATTGTGATTTCTCTTTCTTGAATGTATAGTTTATGCTGTTAGCTTCCAAGATCATATTATTGCAAGAATTTCACTAAATTAAAAAGTCATTGATATTTGTATTGATAAAGTTTGTTTTGTTTTGTTTTTTTTTAGCAATGTCCAATGATACTTCTTAGATCTTCACATATTGAGCTCACAAATGCATCATCATTGTTGGAACTTCATCCTTGCTTATCATCTAATATAGATGATTGTTGTAGGGTAGAACTGAGATCCATAATTAGGGCCAAATACTTAGCTTCCAACATGGGAATCATTTGTACTTAAACGTGTGACACAATAGTCGCAAGGGTAAGCAAGCATACTCTTTAATTATTATTTATTTTGTTTTCTCTTGATATTAGAGCAGAAGTTCTTCTCTCTTTTGAGTGTTTTTTCCATTCATTGCTTATTTTTTGACTACAGATCTGTATTTCTCATCTTGATTCTTTTGGCATCTTTTTTTGTTTTGCAAATGATAAGATTTATATATATCTATAGAATTAATATGAATAACCTAGAAACAATCTATTTGAAGGAGACTATATTGATAAAACCAAAGAATTATAAATATTGGGCAATTACACTTTAGAACATTTTTTAAAAAAAGGACATGTGGGACCTCATCAAACCTCTACCACCAACGAGCATTTCAAAAATAATAGCTAATTCATAAAGAAAAACCAAAAAAACACCAAATTATAAACATTTTGAAGTGAAACAAGTTGGCACCAAAAGAAAAGAATAAAAGTAATACTCCAATTATTCCTAGTTTCAAACTTACATCATAGTATTATAAATGTTGCCTATGTAAGAAAAAAATGGCATTTCTTGAGTATTATGTTTTATATGAATATGCTATTAAATATTATGGTCTTATTGAATCAATAGGAGTATCTTTATATATGCAAGTAATCAGATGTCTCTATATTGATGGAGAATATCAATAACATCTTCCAAGATCTCAAGGCCATGAACTAGATACAATTCAATAAAATAATAGTACATATGATATTAAACTATTGCCTTGCATGTTTAGAAAATTAGTTTTATAAATCCAATCCAAAAAAGATATTTTGAATTTACAAGCACTAGAAAATATGATGCATATAGAAAAAATAAGCACCATTATTCAACAACTTCATTAAGCACTTGAAGTACTTATTATGTAAATTTGTAATATCTATAGTTAGAAATTTAATAGGAATCACACATCCAAGTATATTGGATTAGAATAGAATCAACAAATCATAACATATTGTCAAAATTCTAAAAGCCAACCTTTGATATGCTCCATCATTTGCTATCATTGTGAAAAATCCAAGCATACTTTTTAGTTTTGCAAAGGCTCCATATCAATGCCCTATTAACAATACTCCATAAATCCTTTCTATTTATATAAGAACCATAATTCAAGAAGAAATTATAATCCAACATATAATTACAATAATAGTGTTAGTTCTACATTAAACTTCAAAATCAATCTTACAAAGAAATACTTTGATAAACTAAACTAATTAGATTTATTTAGTGGTAATGATGTCCTTAATGTACTAGAAATACTCACAATCAGCCAACCAAATAGATTAGATTTTGGCACTTCTACATATTTCTCAGGTAATTATTCAACTTTTAGTAAAGTAGATCACTTGAATGGAATCATAGTAATATCTTAAAGCAAACATTCTTCTATGATAGCTTGAAAATGATTAATCAATCTATTCTTACTCAATAGTGAAATAAAACCCTTAAAAGATGTTTTTTACACAAAAATATATTCTTAATAAGATAGATAATAGACTAAAGAAAGCTATACATATTTAATCTAAAAAAATTTAGTATTACATCCCTTCAAAAATCACACCACATAGTAGCCAAATGTTCCTTGGATCAAACAAATGGACTTTATAAATTTAAAAAAATTAAATAAAATTTTAAGTAAATTCCTTAAAAATCCAGTTATCTCTATCATATCCACTTATAGTGAATTCAATATGTAGTCAATAAAATGCACCATCTCCAACTAGTCACATAACACTTGAGTTGAATATTTTAAGCAAAACCAAAAATAATCAAGACATATAAGTTTTAGAAGCCTAGCTATATTAACTTCACAAGATTTACCAACCAATATATCACATTTTTTCATAAGAAGCCAAAGTTACCTTACTTATTATTAAAAAGAATTAATCCATCAATTTTTTAAAAAATATCCCTTATACTAGCCATCAAATTAGTGGCTCTTATTTATATAGATATTTGTGAACTACTTCTCGTAAAATCATTGATATATTTCAAATATTTCTTTTCATTTATAAAAAATTACAATAGGTACTCTTAGATATACTTTATGGCCACAAAAGATAAAATTCTTTACAAATTTTGGTAGTTCCATATAATGATTGAAAAACAAACATTGTATTGCATAATATGTATGAGATTCAATATAGAAGCAAGTTCATATCAATTGAATTCATAAATTATCTTCAATAATATGGTATTATTTGATTTCTAAGTATAGCCAAAATATGTCAAAAAAATATGCTATCTAAATAAATAAATAAAAAAAAACATACAATATTAAACAAGGTTTGAAACATGCTTCTGAGCAATAGAGTCTATGTCTTTCTTCAGACAAAAGTAACTCATATTATTCTTTAGCTTGTGAACTTCAGCTCTACCAAATTGAACTAAGACCACACTCTCCCCTAAATTTTTTATTAGGAAGAAATCCGACCTTGGCTATATTAAGACATTTGGATGCTTATGTTTTGTTGAATAAAATCATTAACAAAGAAATAAATTAGAATTTCAATCCAATCTTGAAATCTATCTTGGATTGGATGATACCACAAATATATACAAAGTTTTTTTTACCTACATACAAGAAGATACAAATCACGCATGATGTGTTCTTTGATGAAACTCAATTTCACAAAATAGATCTAGCCAAATTAACTTTTAGCATGAACATATCAAATAATAGTTATTTTTTATCTTCACAAACTTTGTTCCTTACTTTCTTGACCTCAACACAATTAACAAATGGCCAACAAATAATGACATAAATGACCTATATACTGATAAAAGCCTACAATTCTATAACCTTGCAAATTATTGCAATCTAAAACAACAAAGAACTCATGATCTTCCAACACAATCACAACATACTAAAAAGCACCTTTCTTAGCTCCATAATTAATTTTGCAATCTTTTAGATCTATCAATCAAGCCTACATTTTTCAAGAAGTAGCTTAAGATGAAGGCTGGTGGAATTCAATGATCAACAAAATCAAGTCAATTTACATCAAAAATGCATGATCACTCACTTCTCTTTTTCTAAAATATTAAGCAATTTCTACAAAATGGATGTATATAACAAAAATAAAACTCAATGGTACTAAGCAAAAAATAAATAAATAAATAAAAATAGACTTAGTAGTTTGCAATTTTGAATAAAAAGAAGATCTTGACCATGAAGAGATTATTGCTTTGATAGTCAAGTAGAGCACCATATGCATGCTACTAGCTCTTTTGCACAAAACAAATCATAACTTTATCACATGGATGTGAAGATTGTATTTCTTCATGGTAATCTCAAGAAAGAAGTTTATATTATATAACCTTAAGATTTTGTATATATATATATATATATATATATATATTTTCATAAAGCCCTCTCTCGCCTACAATAAGCACCAAAAGCTTGATATGATAAAATTATTTCTTTCTTATAAAACTAATGCTTCACAAAAGAGAAAGGTTACTATAACTTTTATATAATTTATCATAAGGAGAGGATTTTCTTCTTAGTTTTCTATATACATAACCTTCTATTCATAGAAAATTGCATCAAATAGATAACTTATTTCAAATTACAACTTGAATCAAAACTCAAGATTTCAAAGTGATATGACACTCTATCTCAAGACTAAAATAATCAAGGTACCACAAGGACTATTTATGACACAATGGAGCTATGTTATATGGGAGATTTGCCACTTTGGCCTTCAAGGGTGTCAAATTGTTTCTGCTTCCATTATTGAGCAACTAAAACTCACACTTGATATGCATGAAGATACTATTGATCCAGCTTACTACCAATCCATAGTTGATAAGGTCATACAACTAAGTCATTCATGACCGAATGTTTCCTACTCAATTAAAATTGTTACTTGATTCATGATAAAATCACAATTACTATATCTAATAGCAAAAAAAAGAGAATCTTGAGAATCATTAGCCTGTAGAGTCCTCTACCTTACAAGTTTAGCTACAATTTTATCAAACTATATTGACTCAGATTGAATAAGAGACTTAATTGATAGACAATTAATCAATTGACAATGGAGTTTGTATTCAAAATGAAAGTAAGTTCAATGATTTGGCTTTCAAAGAAACAAGCTATAATTGCCCTCTTTTCATCTAAAGTTGAGTACATGGGCTTGTCTATGGCATCTAGAGAATTTGCTTGGCTACACAAATTCACATACACCTTTGCACTAAAAAAATTAAAACCAATACCAATCTTTTGCAACAATGAAGGGAGTATTAAAATGACAACAAATCTAGATATCAACCCACTTACAAAGAGCATAGCCACACATCACAACTTGACAAGGGAGAAAATAGAAATGGAAGAAGAAAGTTTGATTTGATTTATATGCCCTTTACAGAGTAGCCGACATATTCACCAAATCCTAGGAGCAAGGTCTATTTGAAAAATTCAGTGCAAGATTGAACGTCATCCTTATTGGAGAAGCACAATCTTAGCATTTGGAAATAATTGCACTACCCTGCCTCTTCTTCTCTAGCCTTTGCTTGTAGCTGTAAGCCTCAACAGATTCCACTCCGTAGTTACAAAAATATGACCCTGACCACTACTCTCTTCCCGCTCCATCGACACAACAATTTTTCAGCCTCTGTCATCCAACCTTCCGAAGCTTGAGACACCAACCTCAATGACTGAAGTAGTCAAAATAGCTCATCATTAGTTTTAGGATCACAGATAAGATTTGGAATTAACACCTTATGGAGGAGCTCCACTGGCACCTCACACAAATAGAAAGCCGCAACTCTAGCCTCTTCAACAATCTCTTGGAATATAGCATCCTCAGAAACAAATTCACTTACGACATGTCAAATCTTTACTCCAATACCTGTTGGCTCCTTCAAAACCTCCGCACTCACTTGCACTGAAACAAAGGCCACATTTGATCGATCAGATATCGATTGAGAAGCATAATGGTCAAAATCTACCGACAGCCGGATCAGATTGTCACTCGGCAAGCGGCTCTCCTGCGACGAACACGCCATGCTACTACAACCTTCAAATCCATGTATGTAATGGTTTTGGAAAAGACTTGCAGATGAAAACAGCTCTCAGTTTGCAACACCATTATCTAACACCGCGACTTCATTCTCAGAAAATAAAAGAGCACACTCACAACCCAAGAATTCGGTAATGTTGTAGAATCAATCTCAGAACATCACTCACTTTGAATTTGCAAACTAAATTTCCTGGGTCATTCAAAAATATAAAATTAGGGCTCATAGGTCAATAGCCAATTTCGTTAAAAGCTTCGTAGATGATTTTGGAGAGGGAAGATGTTGGAGCTTCATCCCTACTTATCATCTAATATCTAACATAGATGATTGTTGTAGGATAGAACTGAGATCTAGAATTAAGGCTGGACAGTCAGCTTCCAGCACGGAAACCATTCGTATTTTAACCTGCAACTCAATAGTCGCAGGGGTAAGCAAGCATACTCATTTATTATTATTTGTTTTGTTTCCACAACCTTAACAGTATGTTTTGAGTGCTTCTCCGTTACAAGTCACAAGAAGTGTTTTCACCGAAATGAACTAGTTACAATATTTTACATCCATCGATAATATTGAACACACCAGACGTTGAACTGGAAAAATATGTAGCACTTGAATCATCTATTTTTTCCTAGTGATAATGTATCAGACTACGCAACTTGAGGATTCAACTCAGTACTTGATTGCGGTCAAAGACACAATTTAGGTTTACTTTGATGCATAATAACAGCATCAAAATTGAGTGCAGAAGCTATATTTGCCATCAATACTGCTTTCATTGACAAGTTAAAAATTGATACTCATATGAGAGCTGTTAAAGATCAAACAACAAAAATATTCACTTTCTTACCCATCATACAGGTTGCATTGACAAAGATTTGACGAATCAATCGTCTTTAAAATTGCGAAAAATCCAAGGAAGAATGTTACAAATGAGCTAGCGAGGGGAGATGCTTCAAGTTACAACCTTTCTTATGGCGTATTAATTGAACGCGTCTCAAAAGGAGTGTTACGAGTTCTACCCCGTCTAAGCTTACATGAACATAAAATCTGCCACATGCTCGAATGTTAAGAAAAGCCACGGAGCCTGCGATGGTCACTTACTGAGAACGGTACCTCCCTTGAGTTACATTGGGCGTCTGCCCAAAGCATGCTCGTGGATGGTGTAGTCACCTGCTAAACTTGCTCTGGTCTAGATCTTTTCTTCCAGGATTTTTGCAGATTGGACTATATAACTATTGAATACAACAAATCAGTATGACATGGTCCCAAATTGAGGGCTGAAAATATACATAAAAATCTTTGAGTCCCGCATTTGAGGGACTACACCAGTGCGCGCATGGAGTCTATTCCCCCAAATTCGATTGCCACAGATCGTTAAAAATTGTACTCCTTGCAAGATAATAATACCATTTCTGAAGCCTGAAATAACGCAGTTGGTGTGCAAATCGTTTGAGTATAAATCCAGATGATATTTAGGAATGGAAAATATCACCTGAGATGAACTATCTCTTGAGTGTCGAGAATACCAGCTTTAAAAGGCATGAAACATCCGAGTGGTCAGCTCCAAAGCTCCAACCTCTGTACATGAATGGAGTCACCGCGCCACTATGCATGGTATGGCTTTTGGCTGATATTAACTAGCTTTCAATCACGACCGCTCTGTTTTGAAATGCACGAACTGGAACCCTCATTTGTACCATCCTTGGGACGCAAGCTGCGACTCCTCCGGGAACCCATCAAGTCAAACACAGAGGCCACTTTCCACACCTAGGCAAAGCTCACATTGATCTTCCGGCTATCATAGCTCTGATAAAATGGCAGGAATGTAATGGGAAAGCTCGGCTGTTAGAGACTGAAAACCAATGACAAGATTTGAATGAAAATCTTGATCTTCCTCTCCAATTAACCTGGCATGAACGCGAATGGCCTTCTTGCATACAGCCATAAACTCCATTAAAGCAGAAATTAGTTGCTGAAGCTCTTCTGGCCGAAGCTTGGGTGTTGGTTCCCCTGACAAGAACGCAGTGCACACTCCAAGAACTCCGCTATTAACCTGAAATGGAAAGACACGGCAAACTTTAGTTGCTGTAAATTGAAATAAGATCAGACTGCGGCAATCCAAAAAATAAGCAAGACACTGCGTCTCCTGATAATTAAAACGCCAGTAAGCTTTAACACCTACAAATGCACGAAAAGCCATAAATGAACATCATTCCAACCAACGCGTTCTGCGCAGAATACCTGGACTGCCACGCTTCCTTGCAATATTCGTTGCAGACTTTGCAACCGTGGTGCCTGGTCGCCATCCATTCGGTCATGCTCTTCGAGTTCTCCTAACAAGGCTTTATAGCGGCCCTCAATCATGCCAATAGCGTTCTCAATGGGCGAGAATTCACGGGACTCTGATTTGATGACCAACAAGCGATTCACGAGCGCAGGGAAAGGTCCCTCAGTTTGCAAAATTGTTCGACGTTTCCACTGAGCTTCTAACCCTCCCTGTGTTCGTCCATTTTTGGTAAAAGGAGTATCGAATAAGAAACGATCAAAAACTCGTGTGGTAACTCTTGAGATTCCTTCCGAGGGTTTCCTTTCTTTGCGGATATCTAGATCCTCATCTTCGAGGACGGGATCAACAGAGGTAATTTGCAAATAACATACTCCAGGTTTAAGATCTTGGTCACTCACTTGACGGGAATCAGGAATGATATGCAATGTTTGACCCCCTTCGACAACTTTGGACTCGTAAATGGTTCCCATTGCTTGCATAACATCACCAAGACGAACATCACGTGCCTCCCTGTAGACATACTCCTTCCGGTCCATTTTCCCAAACTGCTTGCCGTAGAACCCAACCCTGTAGTATGTTGCGTCCTTGAACGGAATGGGGCTTGCTTCTTGCTCTTGTAAAGCCTCATAAATGCTGCACAAAGACGTGTAGCATTTTGATAATTGGCCATATGATCTTCGGGCCTTATGGACAGGGATAATAAGCTCTAGAATGTCAGCGCAAAAGTGAAAGAGCTCTGCTTGAATGAAGAGCTTGTTAGCTAATTGCAGGTACTTTACAGCCGACTCTACTGTCAGCTTGGATGTGCCATAACCCTCTACTTCCGCAGAAGCAGCCTCACCAACAACAGAACCTCTAAGCATTGGACAAATCTTGCAAAGGGCAGCCACATGATCTTTACCCCATACATTGTCCTTCTGCCCAACTATAGCCTGGAAAAAATGTAAAGTAGTGAGTGAGCAAAGCACGAAACAAGTCCTCGTAAATAACTGGACTGTAAATCAAAAAAACACCAGCAATTCAATTTGAATGCTTAGCAGGTAAAGGAGGTAAGACTACCATCGACTGAAAGAGCACCAAAATCAGACCACACAAACCTAAGAACAACAAATCCAAACCAAAATCAATCTAGGTTCATCCAATTTACCTGCATGATAACACCTGCTACAGCAACTGCACACTGAGCAGCTTCTGCCCACGATTGGTTCTGCTGATGAGCATCACATAGATATAAAAGCCACATAATATGCAAATCTGGGACGTTTCTATAAGCCCAAGCTAGGCCATGAAACCCTTCAGTAGTGGAATATTTATCTGTCATCATTGATGGTGCCTGCAAAATGTCATAGATGTGCCGATTTAAAAACAGGAAAAAAAAACTGTATTAAGAGATGCATACTTAAAATCAAATTTGCAAAACAGCAAAACATGAGCTTAGCAATGGAGGCGATCGTTTCCGACAAAATACAAGGTTAGAATACATACCATTAAGGCATGCTCAGTCGCTGCATCAAGTGCTTGCAAAAGAGTCTCCGATAAATCACTAACTTCTGACCACTTCCATAAATCTTCACCCTGGTTGTTAACTCTAGCCTTCAATGCATCTTCGGGAAGACCGCACTCACGCAATAAGTCCTTGCTATGAGAAGGCATAGCTATTAGTTTTAAAGAGCTCTGAAGACGCTGGGCTTCACCACTCTTTTCAAGTCCACCATCCATTTTTGTTTGCGTGACTTGCACATCGGACATCAACTCTGACAGAGTGATAGTCAGCATAACTCTCAGCCTTGAGATGTTCTGAAAGAAACAGAATGAAGTCTGCAAGAAAATGTACATTTGTCAAAGCTCGTTCCAAAAAATTCATATTGTGAATAGAACAAGCTTCAAGACAGACGAAATAGACTCATTGACGCCTAATTACAGCCAGCCTTGCGGAGATTAAACCCAAATGCCAACACTTAAGTCTGGTAAATTACACAGTTATCAGTAATAAAAGGCAGCAAGAAGAGCCAAAGGCGTTGCGAATTTCTAATAATAAATGGAACCAGTATGGTGAAAACTTACGCGAACTAGAATCTGAAGTCCCACAACTGCCATTTTGCGAATAGAGTCGTTTCTGAATACAGCAAGGCGCAGCAAATGAAAAACCACTTGTTTCAAAAACCTGTCGTTCTCTCGAGTAATCAATATTGACCCGTGACTCTTGAAAAGGGTATTGAAAACTGGCAGAAAAGCTTTCCAGAATGGTAGAGGCTGGCTGTGGCTTAAAAAGCCAATAAAGATGGTTGTGATACAGTCAAGCTTGACATAGTCCGTAACTACCACATTGCCTGCTGCAGCATCCATGAACTTCTCTACAATTTCCAATATCTGTAGGGTCACGGAAGCACTAAGGTTTTCCTCCCACAATTCCTGAAGTTCCAACATATTTCCACGCAAGTATCAGAGGGAATGCTTTTACAGCCGCACTAAGTAAACATCAAGAATGAATAAACGAAATTTGCAAATGAGAGTTGCATCTTAATGCAGTAGTCCACACGAAAACCTCTACAGAAAAACCACTGCTAAAGACGAAAGAACTCTACAACATATAAAACATCATTTGAGAAAACGTACAAGTTTGTGTCGTAGCATAGGATGCAGACTAGCACGAAGTTGTGCACTCGTTCTTCCAAGGATGTTGCCTGGGCCTAGTCCCTGCATTGGAGTTTCTCGGTATGTTTGGGTTGGGGAGCTCATTTGTGGACTAACCCGCTTCCAGAAATAACTACCATTGTCTGCAGTGGCTGGGGCGCTTGACCACTGCTCACCAATACGACAAAGGAAGGCGCACAACTTAGTGACATCCAAAAAAGGATGTAATAACTAGGATTCGTTTCTGATTGAAAACTAAAACTTACGCATAAGAGGTTATTAGATTCAATAAACGAGAATCGAAATAAATACTCAGCAAACGGGCAATAAATATGTCCATTCATATTACAAAATAACACAGAAGGACGCAATTCCCAGTACATACAATAAAGAACGGGCCGCGGGAATCACAATTATGAACTAGACTCATCGGAGTGAATGTCAAAGACTGCATCAACCAGCTCAATACATGAGATGTGCATACCCGACTATCCTGACGAGAAGCTTCCGCCAAGAACAAATTAACAGATGGTGATAATTTTTCTGTGTACCGGGTACTTCCATCACCTTGGTCAGACAGTGGCATGGCACCCATTAACCCATCAGCTCCAGCCTTCTTGTACTGTAATATAAAGAAAACAAGTTCATAGATGAGTATTAGCTTGCATAAGTTTATATCTTCTCTGATACAAGGTGCATGCCAATACCTCACAAAGCTAGTTCCAAACAACAAAGTGCAGGATTTTAGCATTCTGATACGTGTTCATACAATGATTGCCAAAAATAAGTATGTCAAAAAGGAACGCAGATATAACACCAATATGACCACTAAGGATATCACAACGTTACAAAATATTCAACTGAAGACCAGACCTCAAACAAATTCTGGCAGTCTTCAAGCAACTTGAAAAACAGTCTTGTTTGGGCTGCACTTTGTTGCCACGTCTTGATCAACGTAGGATCGTCTAAATGATGAAGATATTGGAGCATGCACACCAATATCTCGCGCTTCTCCGGAGGATTCAAGTTGTAGAAAACAGGCATTTCCTCGAGAATCTGTATTTCAAACTTTAAAGCTCTTAGGGAAGTTGTTTGGATTTTTTACCCTAAGGTACTACCTACTATTCCACTCTGGACTCAAATTGAGCGTGTAAATTTGGCGACATTAAAAAAGAAATAAACAAAACAAAATTCAACCTACTTCTGTAACGCCAACACGAGAGGACAGCTTACGTGAGTGATCAATGGAAAATAGCGTTGTGCAATGTACAATTTGTCATCCAAAGTTTGGTATCGGGCATCGTATTCGTGCTTAGCCATGAGGACAGCAAGAGTCCGAGCAGCCTGCGCAACTCCAAACATGAATTGGAATCAGTAAACTGCTGCAAGTTTGAACGCGTACGTCCACGTTTCAAACCGAAACGTGAAGCAATTAAATTACTTACAACAAAAGATCAACAAATTAAGAAGCAATACTATAAGATTGTACAGCCAAAGATTTCAGTCGAAGTGGTACAGATGAAATGCTCTAGGTTGTTGGGTAGTCCGACTCAACCACATTATCTGTATATGATAAAATTCCGCAACAGAAGGACAAACAAGAATTGAACATACTTTGCTTTTCAAAATGGTATCCCCATGGTCAAAAGTAATGAAGAGCTCCTGCATCAATATAGATGCGAGATAGTTTCTGCATAATACCATCAATGTCAATTCGAAAAATTAGTATTGTGGGCATCAAAGGAAAGGGTTCATCTACTAATAAATCAGAATCAGCGGTGTATAATAAGCAAAATTATGAATTTCAATCACGATGGTTTCTGTACCTTTCTGAAGGATCCCGACCAGGCATCTCTACAAAGAGATCATGATCAGCAATGATGCGAAGAAAATTCAGCTTACACTCATGCAGCATAGATTGACAGGCACCACTAAATTTATCAAAGTACAGCGCCACCTGAATAGGTAAAAACAACAATAAAAAACAGGAATATGTAGAGGTCAAACTTTCTTTCACAAAAAAAGATGAAATACCAGTTATCTAATTCAAATACCTTTCACTTTCAAAGGATAAAAAGTCACAACCAGTCCATTTTCTCCCAACTAAGACAATCAATACCAAGTCAATCGAAAAAAACATAACAAAAGCACAGGGACGCACCAGCTGAAAAACTTGTCTAGGTTCAACCACTGAGAGAAGATCATAGCAGAAAAAAGCTATGCTACTATTCAGACGTTTTGCAAGTGCTAGACCCTTCTTACAGCGGTCGTAGACCTCTGTAAGCAAGCAATCATAAAGCTGGCCAACACTTTTCAAGACCTCGTCATTAAGTTGCAAAGGCGGTAAATCTTCGCCTGCGAGGAACAGTCAAGCGATGTCAAAGTACACCCGAAAGTACGACGGAAACGATGCAAAAAATGCTCATAGCCGACAATGCTCTATTGACCTAAAGAATGAAAAATTCGAAAACTGAAAGTGTATACGCACACATTGATCTAAAGGTGGGTTCAATGCTGCGTTAATGGCATGCTACTCCACAAAAGTTTTAAGCCGAAATTCAAGACGTTCAGTACCGGGAGGAAGATTCTCAGAGTACTTGCGGGCCTGCTCAAGTGCCATGGATTTCACAATGAGTTCAAGAAAAAACCATGACATTGATAATACGTCGTCGTAGACAGGGCCTACCCTGTAGCCTTTTGCCTGCAATCGACAATTGCCAATTAGCATACATGGGCAAGAATGGGTCGTGCTGATTTTTCAAACTAACTTAGTCATATTATTAATATGATAACCACACGGTATGACTTACAACAAAACCGCTATCAAATTAACACTGAAAGACCACTTAAGCAGGATCATAAATCGAATAAAGAACACACATGTAGAAAATAAGGATTGGAATGACGCAACAGAAATATAGCACACCTTACTGCGAGCAAGGCTACGCCAGACACTACAAAGGCCTGGATACACAGGTTCGGAAACACCTCCAAAATCATCAAAGGAGTAATCAACATATTGCACCAAATACTTGTTACGGTCTGCTCCTACATCTGAACTTTCTTGTTGTACCCTGCTAAAAAAAGAACATTGCAAATTAGTTAAACCAATTTCAGGAGGACTTAGCAACACCACTCATTACAGAAATGTCGAGGACATTCATGCCAGAAAAGTATAACTGAATTCAGACATATCAGGAAGAATTACGATCGACACCCCTTGGTTCACGAAAACCTTGAAAAACATGAAGTTCACGACAAAACCACCGGAAATTGATTAACTCAATCGGTGTCTTTTTGTGCATTTTAATTTACTGCATTATTATGCAGCTTCAATAAGAATAAAGTCAAACCGATGATAGTTACTTTTAGATAACGAGCAGTTCTGAGGAGTATAAGCACTGAAAGAAAAATCTAACCTTGAGATGATGTTCACCATTGCCCGGAATGCAGCAACCTATCAAATAGATCAAGCAAACAAAAGATCACAAGAGGTTCAAAACGCAAAAATATTATAACCCTTATATGGCATTATGAAATATGAAGTTCAAAAGTATCGAAGACGTTATCAAACTAGGCACCCGAAAAACAAAACAAAACAAAAAACAAAAAAAAAAAAAAAAAAAAAAAAAAAGTAAAGAAAGATAGGTAGACCTGAAGAGTCTCCCCGCCGTCACCTATCATGCGAAGTAACATGTTCAGTGAAGGCAGCAGAAACTGCAACATGGCTGATGGCTCAACATGCTTCAACCCATTAATTGCCTGCACATTGAGCAGCATCACAATTTTTATGAAATTCAAACTAAAAAGAAAAGGGAAAGAACTTAAACTCCAATCGTGTAGAGAAGTAAAATGAGTCACTATAGGTCGTCAAAAAGATTCAATTTCACCAGACATACATGACCAAAATGATTCAGGAGCATGTTCTACCTCAAGATGCAAATGCACACAAGATTGTTAACATACAATAAATCAACAGCTACGTAATGCAAAAGTACAGAATACATGCAATAATCATAAAATTAATTCTACCGCTTGTTACAGATCAAAAGCTAAACTATATGTTCTTCACAACTGAGCATTAAAATCCTACCTCCAACAGCTCACTCCCCAAAGGCTGATTTGTGTGAAGGACATATCTGTCATATTCAGCAAAGAAATCTCGGATTTTATCATTCACGGCGTAAAGAGATGAACACAATCTGGAACGAAGCCTGAAAACTGCTTTCCCCTCGTCCAGTAATTCCATTTGTTCCTGAAGAGAAAAACAGACTTGAGTTTAGATCATATCAGTTCGTCAAACTTAAGTAAGATAGCAAAGAGATGCTAAGTTATATGACCAAAGATTTCATCCACAAAATCATAACATAATAGAAGGATAAGAATTGGAACCTTAACACTCTCCTCCAAGTAATGAGGGAGGAGCTCTTTTACTACGGGTAAAGTACCATCTAGCCGTTGCACCCTGCACCACACAAAACCTCACATTGAGCGGACTTCATGAATTTGAATCGAGAAGTCCATACGTCGAAAGAAGCAAATAGTCTTGGAGAATACAATCGGTAAAAAGCTGAGAAAAGAAGAGAAACTGTTATTATACAATAGAGAAGGATAGATCAGGCATGTCCATCCGATAGATTGGGACAAACCAGATGCTAAGACAGAAGAGCATAATAGAAGGGTTAAAGGCTTACTGGACACCAATAAGCAAAGGAAGAACTGAATATCCAACAACAACCTGGGACACAAGCAAAATTTCACAATCACAGTAAGTAAATCACAGGATGGATGAAAAAAAGAGCGAAATTTCGAGACTTCAAACGAAAACACAGCACATAAGTGCTCATGGAAATTTATCTAAATCACAGGCACAAATGCTTGGCAAATAGACACGAACACTTCATAAGGGGGATGGAAGGTGAGAAACATTTGACTTACTGGCTTCGGAGCCTCCAATTTCATCTGAAGATCGACATGAAAGAAGGTGAAAAGTAGGTGATGCTGTGGAGTGATCACAGCAGGAAGGCGAATCTTGAATTCATCGTGAAAATGGGGAGTTTTAGAGTTGATATCAACTTGAGAATGACCGTACTTTTGCATGTTATTGTCAGTATCTCTTGGATAAAGAGCCTGCAATATCAGAAAAAACATAAGGAAGCCATTTTTCAAGAACAAACCAACTGGATTCGCTTCATGGATTCAGTCAATGGACGAAATCAAGAAAACGACAAATCAAAGAAAGTATCAACTTAGAAACGAATTCTGTTCTTCATCAAATTCTTCAAAAATCTGGCTTTCCTTGCGGAGATATTATAAGCGAAAGCCTTTTTCCAACCCAAGGCACAAAAGACAAGAGTGACGAGTCTGATACTTTCCCAACCCATTTATACTGAACCCCTTCGCTTCCTTGCTTATGAACACGCATGTGCGGTATTCAGTGACAAGAACTTACTTCTAGTGGAGGTTTTCGAATATCGTAGTCGTCCTTACGAAGCTCCACACGTACAAACAAATTTCGCTTCTTGCTGAGATTCAAAGTTTGTGGATATATATACAAGCAATGCAACATCTGGGACATAAGGTCGCCTCTATTCGAGGTTCGAAACTCAATAGCTTTGAACTGTATCACCAAAATCGACAAATTTACTCATTAGCTTCTGAACAAGGAGATCCACTGGAGGTCGTCATGCATTGCTACGACGAAACTTAAGCAAAACCAAATTTAGTAGTCAAAGTCATTGCAGACGACAAGATGACAACTAGAGTTACGAGATGTACATGAGGTCGCAGAAATTCGAAGCTGTTAGCGCTAGCGGAATGCGCAAGTCGACGCTTGTCCATGGAACTCCACTTGGGACGTCCACTGAAAGCTCCCCTCGATACACCAGAAGAAGCCTGCGGTAAATGCCTGGATAATGAGGCTTCTCTACCCTCCCCTTCAATTGAACTGTTGCTAAAACTGCCACATTCAGATATAGCGTCTTGTTCCACTTCATCTTGTGATACCCTTTCTACTTCAAGACGCAGGGTAGCCTTCACGGGTTTGTGCGCTAAACGTTTCGGATCCTGTGCGTCAACGCAAATGCGGATGTAAGAAAATCGAGCCATCCCACAATATGCTGAACATAATATCGGATGGAAAATCATAAGATACAACACTACAACTAATGAAAAAAAACACAAAGTGGTTTACACGGTACACACCAGCAGAGTCTCCTCCATATAGTTCTCCTTCACACGATTAAGACCAGGAACATCGACAAGGACAGGCTCATGTTGTCTAGTATCATGGTGCTTAGAATCGCCGGATGTAAGCAACTGCCCGTCAATGTCAACAGCTGCTTCCATCAGGCCCGACCCCAATAAACTAGAAGGTAATGGACTGCTGGGTGAGGTGAAACCGCCTACTCCTCCTGTCACACTAGAATCGAAGAGCGACACAGTGGCCCACGCGAAAGGTTCCCTAAAAGGCATCACCCGTGCCCAGACTTGCAGCTTTTGCTTCTCTCTCTCTGATAAAAATGCCTGAAGTACATACACGAAAAAATATCAGAATTCTGAAATCGAAACTAACTTATTACTGCAGATTCAGATTCATGTAAGATAATTCAGATTCAGATTCAGATTCACAAATTTTAGATTCATCAGAACAAATTTCACAAATTGAAATGCATTTTTTTATTGATATGAAATGCGCATACAGATTGAACGACTGACTTGGCATGACTTAAAATCTGAACAAGGGAATCGAGATTAAATCTGTGAACTCACGGGCTCTTTGCGAGTATAAACAGAGGGAGAGACTCCTCCTTCCTCAGTCACATGCTTCTCCAATTGAATGAGCAAACATATGGCCGGTGAACCAGCTTCCAATGAGAAAAGCACACTCCTCTGACCTCCACCATTATCCTATCAAAAGATCATCGAATATGAATGCACTTCATGACTAAAAATTAAAATGATAAAAACCATCTTGTTAGTATAAAAAAATCTCATGCGGGTAGATTTTATTCATGACAAGATAAAAGAAATTTAAAAAAATAAAAAATCGTACATCTTGAAACTCTGAGGGAAGAAATCTGAAATGAAAATCTTCCGAAAGCTTTTCGCGCTTCTCTTTGTTGTACAGACACATTGTTCCATAGACAGGTTCTGCACAAACCACCAGAAACTTGAAGCCGTACGTCTACATCATGTACAAACATGGGGTTCTAGTAATATAGAATAGTTATCAACTATTGAGATGCGATCTTTTAGTACCGAACTTACCAACAAGCCCAGCTTGCATTGTGAGCGATACAAGTTTCACTGAAATTTTCAATCCACTGCAGCACAACAACCAAGACGGGTCCGTATAAGAGTTACACCCCCTCCATAACAATGCAAACGAACAAAACAAATTGAGTCCAAAAAAGACCTCAGTTTAAATCCAAATGCTACTGACAACCTCGTGGAGAGTGAAGGTGGTAGCTCTGGTGTTCTTTGACCGTAGACAGCGGATCTCTCGACATGCCAGTTGAAAACAGGATAGTAGCATGGTAAAGGAGGCCCTCCATAGTGCTGCAAGGCGAAACATTCGCTGTAAGTAATGTCGTTAACATAACAGAGACATAAAAGGCTCGGGCATCGAACACCAAAACCCACTAAGAATGACGAACTAAACACACTCCGAAGAAAAACTGCTTAAGTTAAAGACCGAGGTACACGAACTTCAGCTCTAAGATTCTGAGTAGCAAATACAACCGAAAAGAAACCAACGAGTTTTTGATCAAATCTAGCCCTCAGTTGAAAACCTTTTTCACATATGCAGCATCTGGATCACTTCTTAACGAAAGCCTTCCTGATGTGCTGACTTCTTCCTCTTCAGCATCCCGGCCCCTTGCTGCAAGACGCAACTCTGCGAAAACGAAAATCCCGGTACAGAAATCAATCACTGAGAGAGAAGAATAGAGACAGCAATATTAACAAAAATAAGTTTCAAGTACAAATGCAATCGATTTAAAAGGGAGAAATCTCTCCTCCCAGCTGACCTGTCTCAACATCTGTATCAGGGCCTTCGAAGATTTGTGGCTCGAATGCAGGAGGGGGTACAGCATCGTAACGCCCATATTTATTGTCGTCTTTAACCCACTCTGCTTTGTAACTCTGTAATAGCTCCTTCAAATGAGGCCAGCTGTCCAAATTTCCGCTCAGCTGCACCACCCACCTCCACAGTCAAATGCGAACGATCCAAAAGCACGAACATTAGAAAAGAGGTTACTTGCTACAAAAATGAAGACCTAAGTATCATCAGTGGTATCCGACTATGGAAATCCAAGTCAATTCGTTATAATATTCTTACCAAAGGGTCCAAATCCAGGCTCTGACTAGATGATCGGTGTATGATGCGCTTGAACCGCTGCCCGTTAACTCCATTTTCACTCACGCCCTAAACACCATTGAACAGAGATGAAATACTCAGTAAGAAAATGCTTGCTCGGGAAACAGTCTGACTACTAAAGCGATTACACCCCGTTAACATAGACCTCACATCCACGCCGAAGCTGCGGCAAAGGTCGACAGCTTCGACGGCGCATCAAGCATGATTAACAACCACAGGCCTTTTCACGAAGCAAAGACTTCTAAAAGTTCAACTAACGTAGTAATTCCCAGATTGATGAAGAACGTCATAGATAGAAGACACTTTTCATACCAGAAAATATCCACAATCAAACATAATTGTCACACGATATATCCTTCGTCTGTTGGACATATTCCACTTAGTATGATAGCGCAACTTAATCAGACAAACGTAGATGACCTGGAATTCTACAATCGAGCAAGTCTCGTGTGGGCTAATCAGCAAATGAGAACATCCCGAATATGCGAATAGATTAGCGATAATATGCTCCGTCAAGATGCAGACTAAGCACAGTTTCGAATGAACGAATACGAACAGTGCCATGCCGCATGACCGAAATCACAATTGTGATGATAAGAGAAACAAATACCGGTGAAATACAAAAAGCCGTAATGAAGCAGCAGAAGCCACTAGCCATGTAATGCGACCTATAAGAATTTATCCAGGTAGTTCACATACGTTTTCATCTTCGCACTAGTTGAACAAGCTCTAATTCACAATAAATACTCGTCGTGAAGGTCTAACTGTCGAGAAAGAAAGAAAGAAAAAAGAAAAAAACGAGTCATTGACTTTACTACAAGATTCGAACTTCGCAAAGATGAGGGGAGGGATTATTGTGGATTCACCGTTCTCGAAGAATGAATGGAGAGGCTCGAAAAACCTTCATAATCTCTGCCGCTGTCTGAAAAATAATCTCGCCCGCTGAGTTTGCCAGAATCCATGCTGGTTAAAGCCATAGTAACTCCCTCGTATCACAGACGTCGAACGCGCCTCAAAGCAACCGAGACACGATCAGGTTTGCTTCGGCACAGAAGTCTGGCCTTGCAGGAACAATTTCAACGTCACCTCGCAAGCACCGCTGGTTACCAACGCAAACCTTTCATACTAACATTCCCATCCAAGGATGAGCAAAAAACAAGATAGCACCAGTCACGTTCTAGCTCCAGTTGTGTCTCCTATCCTAACAACACTAACTTTCCATTCTGGATACTCCCATAAATTCGTCCTGGTCACCAGTAAGTGAACTTCCTCTTAATTTTTTCTTCCAGCCGAACCAGATCGCCATGAATGATGTAACATTGGTCCATTCTTCCCGATAAAAGCAGGCAAGGAACGAGGATTATTATCCTCCATTCGCGCCCTACGTTGTAGTCTGTAGTTGAGCAATGTTGCACACTGACCTATAATATGTACGCCCTTGGATGCTTGACAAATGGTAGAAACATTCAAAAAGCCTCCACATTTCAGAATGATATTGCATCACATCATCCATTCACAGCAAATACAACGAATAAGAGCATTGTTATGAACATGTCTTCACTTGGATCGCGGACATCCTCGAGATGGAAATTATAGAACATGGAGTAAACCCCGCGGTTTCTTGCCTCCTGTTCAATGACAAGCCACGAAAACTCAGAATCGCAACATCAACTTCCCGCGCTGCTACTAAGACAGCTTCTACCTCGATTCAAAGGCCACATTGCACTCGCACACTTTTTCTAGAACCCCTACTCTACAAAATTTGCCAGACATTCCTCTACTGCCACGATCCCATAGTCGAAGTGATCAACATCATTTCACTCGCTTCGACAGCACTCCAAAAGGTGAGATCCAAGACTGTAGTAGCACCAAAGCCCCTTCAAATGCGAAAGATAAAACAGCTTGAAGACTCAAAACACTTCATTTCCCTTTTTTAAAATGTGTTCACGCACACAACAGTTCCTCCGTCATAATGAGCGACACGGCATTCCAAAAGCTGCTATCGTAAACAAAAGCGCCGCACACCTTACCGACACAGATCCAATGTCTCAAGGGTGCGTGGAAGCAGCCACATTCCCTGTGCCACCGAAGTGAAAACTGACCTAGTAAATGTAAAGAAGTGACCCAAAGTGTCACAACCAAAGAGTAGATCTGCGCGCCCGCACTCCTCGTTGTTCCAGAACTATGAAACACAAAAAGTGCGTGTACTGGCTATCTTCCGAAAACCCCCCGCGCAACCAGAGACAGCAACCACGACGCTCCCGTCCTGAGATTCTCAGCACCGATGCAACGTGGATTCAGAGAACCACCTTTCCCCTATCTCTCACGACTTCCATAGGCCGTCTAACAACACGATGCACTTCCGTGGCGTCACATAAATGAAGGCGTCATCATCACCCCGAAAGGAACCGAAGAAAGCCATCAACACCCAAGCGCACGCCCGCCAGCAGCTATTCTCTTGCGGTACGCAATTCCGCCCTACCAGCATTGCACCGAAAACACAAGATCTTGTGTTTCCTCCTCCATCATCATCATCGCCATCATCATCCTCATCATCCCCTTTGAGAAAGCAAGCGGCTATGGCGAGAGAGGGAGGGAGGGAGGGAGGGAGGGAGGGAGGGAGGGAAGCGTGTGTCGCAATGATCGGAGGGAGAGGGGGAGAGGAGCGGGGAAGGGCGTCTGCGATGCCTGTGGACTCGCCTCGAGCCGATCCGAGCCCAAGCCAAGCTTGCCGCCCGATCTTCACGTTGAGAGTGCAGGGCCAGCGAGCGAGTCCGCTTACCGGTAATAGTGACTAGTGAATCCCCCCTCCCTCCCCCACCCCCCCTAGGCGCTATATAAAGAAATCATCCCCTCCCCGGGCGCACATGGGCCGTCCGATTTCGATGTGCACGATTGGGGTCCGTGCGATGAGGGAGGGGGGCTTGCTTGGGATGGGATCTCGCATCTTCTTCTTCGTTCCCTCCCTCCCTCCTCTTTCTTTCTATCTGTCTTTCTAATTCTTTCTTTCTTTCTTTCTTTCTTTCTTTCTTTCTTTCTCTCTCCCTTGGTCTCTCTCTGTGTGTGGCTTCTTCGACGGGTTTCCACCATCGTTACGGGGATGGGTGATTGATGTTGATCACGAGCTGGGCTAGCTTAGCTGCGACACCCAGAGCCAGGCCCCCCTCGCCCACGCCTCGGTGCTGTGCCCACATTGCACTCTCTCTCACTCTCTTTCACCAGCTTTGCTTTGCGCTGTTGCCACAAAGTATGGAATTTCTCTCGTAGCCTGGCCTCCTTTCATAACCTCTGTCTCTATCTCTCTATCTCACCCTGCTTCACGCATTTCTATAAACCCGATGGTCCACAATAAAACTCCCTTGGGATGGTGATGCTGATGATGCTGATGATAATCGATTCCCTTTGGACCTGTCTTCCATTCCAAATCACTGAAGTACCATCGGAATGCGTTGAAACTGGATTAAAATATATTAAAATAAAATAAAATAAATGAGGAATCTCTGGCACTGCCGGAATGCATCCGTGTTCTTCAATATATATATATATAGGAGCTTTTTCTTTTGTTTGATCATATACCAATGCAATGATATGACGAGTTTAATTTCTGTTGTTTCGAAAAACAAATTGTGGAAAGAATATAAATGCATCACAAAATGAGGTTTATGAATTACCAGGATATAATTCAAAAACTGAAATTCTGTGTTATAGAGAAGCAATGAAATAACTTGTAATCAATGATGCATCAATCACTTCAAAAAAATTGTCATTTTTTAATTAAGAAATGTGTGTGTTTTCTTTCTTGCTTGCTTTTTTCATATGGATTACTAAAGCAATCAACCATTAGAAACATTAACACCTTTGGCATTGTTTAGAAAGGATTAACTCTTGAAAACCTTATTGGAGAAAAAATAAGTGAAAAATATATTATCATATCGTAAATATTTAAATATTTAAAAGATTCCACATATGTCCCAATCAAATCATAGAAAAGAAGATTTGGTCTCAAAATTTGTAAAAAGATCCACAAGGCCAGTGGGGTGGTTTTCTAATGAAAGTTTTTTATGGGATAAAACTTCTTTATTATTGAGAAAAAGATATACTAATTCTCATGAAAACATCACACATAAACATAAATAATAAATAATAAATTTTTCTCAACTTTTGTGGTATGCAGTATTAAGTCTTCAGAAGTTTGGCAAAGCAAGTGATGTCACAAATATGCAACGTTACCAAGTCACAAAGAACTTATTTAATAATTTCAACACAATTGCCTTGTGTTTTTGTACTAATCTTATTAGTTCTTTACAGGTTGTGGGCATAGTCTTAAAAAAGGATATATGAACCTGAGCATGAGTCATATAAAACAGTTGGCTTCATCTTGGATGACAATTCCATTTGAAATCACATCAAAATATTATTTACCAACGTGCATAAAAGAGTAAATGTACCATCATAGATGGTTAAGCTCATTAAGAAATATTATTCTTACAATACTTTGGGCAAAATGAAATCATATGTTCCATTCTTGAGTAGACTATTCAAACTATTATATATATATAATCAAGACATGTGTTTGTTATCCACCAGAACAAACAAGTCCAACAACATAAGAACAGCTGAAGATTCATCAGCAACGGCTGGTAGTAGGTAAGAGAGACACTCACAGTACCACCACTAAGCCCAGAGGCACAGCTCAAGCTTGGGTCAGGAAGATAGATTACTTAAAGATTGAGTAGTCATTGTATTAAGCAGTTGTGAACTAGTGCAGACACAATCAAACTCCAGGTAGAGTAGCCTGGGCTGGAGGCTATGTATATTTAAAGTGTGCAATGAACAAAGTTCATTCCTGAATTGGTGTGTATTACTAGTTTTAGACTTTACAAATTTTGTCTTGTGCTTACTTGTTACCCTGAGAGCTTGAGTAACAATGTTGAAAAAAATAAAAAAATAAAAAAATAAAAATAAAAGAATAAAAAGTAAAATAATATGTGCAGGGTTTTTACAAATTAGTGCTAAGTGAAATTTAGTGAGCTATAATTAGAGTGAATTCCACTAAGATTATCATGTGTTGAAGTAAAAATACAATTATGTACAGAATTATAAAACCTAACCTTCTGAGGAGCATAAAGTACATTACTTTATTGTTTTTTATGTAATATTTAGAAAATAGTAAATGAACATACAGAATTTAAGGCAAATGAAGACATTAAACCCCAACTCATTTGAATTTAAAGAGTATGATAACTTCACAAACAATTGTCATGCACTAATCAAAACTATAACTTTTTTCTTAAAAAATATCATTACAACTTAAAGGTTGCATTTACAATTTATGAAACCAGGTTGAGATACAACAATGAATCCATACAAACCTCAACTATATTTCCTTATTTATAATAGTTGCTATTAGAAAACCATGGTTAATGTAAGTGTACTCATACAGATAATTATTTTTACTTTCTTGTGATTAACATACTAATACAGTTTTAAATTATAGATTAGCTATGTATGTATGTGTACACGAATGCATTTTCTTTGTTATCATTTATACATATGCTTACATCGAATTTGTTTGAACCAACTAATAAAATGTTTATTTTCTGAACCAGTAAATGCATCATTTATTGAAACACAATCAACATGTAATAAGTTTTACGATGCAGTACCGATCATTCAAAACCATCAACTCATCGATCATTTACTGAATACAATAGGAACAGGATTTATGATATGCCATAAACCCCAAAACGCCTTTTTTTCTCCAAAATTTTGAACAGTGCACATCTTCACCAACCTTCACATTGGAAAGCATCCAGCACTTAACTATTAAAATACATAGGAACGTGCATCCGAGAGTGAGATACTGAATATTCACTTACATCAGCACAAAGAAAGGAGCACATATGCACATGTGGAGCTTGAATGTGCTTCGGAAACATGTTGAACACTGTCCAGCATGCGGTTGCGATACACGCAACGAGTCTATAAATGCGACGAGAGGAGAGGTGTGCGCTCGTGTGGGTTCGGGAGTCATTGCACCCGCCGTGACGGGGGAAAAAATCACCTCGCAGTGGGCTTCATCAGTAACATCAGGCGATGGATTTGAGATTGGATAGAACTGAACCACTCGCAGACAAGGAAGAAGCTGGATCTTTGGCAAGCAAAATTAGTCCCTCTCATGACAAGGTGCCCATGCATGAATCACAAGTCCCACAGATTCTGAGCGTTGGGCTGGTCTGGGCACGCACCGTTGCACATGAGCTGCAGCGAGGAGTTCCATGTCCCCCGAACTGAGAATAGCGGATGCGAAGTGCCGAACCATCGCAAATGGGGTCAGAATCGTTTCCTTTATTCCCTGTGAGAAGATTCCCCTCACTCACCGAATAATGCTGTGGAGGGAGAGAGGGACTCGGAGGAATATGGGAGATGGACTCAGCGGTAACCGGATAAAAAGTGAAAATCTTTATAATAAGAAAAAAACGAGTATCGATAAAAGAAATGAAGGGGCGCGTGAGGGGCATTCAAATGGACATCCAGATTATCCAGCAGCGGGGAGAACGACAGCCTTTCTCGCTCTAATTCAGGGCCAGGGGGGGATGGGGATGGTGGGTTGCATGGGAGGGTTGTTCTTGCAAACCGCGTCACTCTCGATTGTCTGCAACAATCCCCCACTTGCCCAACTCATTGGTCAAGGTCCTGCTTCTTCTTCTGCTTCTTCTGCCGCCATTCCTCCTTTTAGCCCAGCGTCGGGGATGTTGGATATTCGGTGCCATGTACCTTTTGCGGGGTTGCGACGTGGTGCCTCTGTCTTGTGAACGGGGACCTGCGTCGCTCGTATTCTTCACAGCGTCGGGGATTGCCTTTCACACGGTGGCTTCTCACACTCACCTTGCGTGCGTCCGTCCGTCCGTTCGTTAATTCCTGTCTTCGTTCGTCACTCTCTCTCTCCGTCGGTGCGTTCGTCTGTCTGTCTGTCTCGAGGGGTTTGCCGTTGCAAGAAAATTCCGGTGGATGCAGTGAGGAAGAGTATATTAAAGCTTCTTTTTTTTTTTTTTTTTTTTTTTTTCTTCCCGCATTTTTCTAAGTTTGTCTCGCTTCATTCTCTTCGACCCATGGATAAGGGCAACAACCAAACCTTAGTTACCATCATGGTTGTGATTTCAACGCCATTTACCACAATAATATCCCCTCACAAATTTCATGGCATTTTTGTAACTGTACACATTAGTAGCTTGGAAAAGAATTAGAATGTTACTTAAAGATCCATTCAGACTGTCTCTCAGAAAATCATATCTATTTATATATATATATATATAGTAAGAACTAAAACCATAGGATTATGATGACATCAAATTTCAAGCAATAACTTTACTTTAGCAATGGGTGCATTTTTGCATGTTGGGTGTAACTTTTCAACTACTTGTGTGTCGCTCTGTTTTCAAAAGTTAAAAGTATCCTGTTGTAAGATATCTGGTATGATCGTGATGTCATGTTGTAACCGGCACGGGTATATGCATAATTCAACGTCTTTGTATGAATTTTTGATGTTTACTTTTTATGCTAATAAGAAAGAAAACTGATTCTTGGATATTTTATTCATTTATTTTGTCATTTAGTGCAGCATAGTATTACATTAAAAGATACATATGTGTGTGTGTGGGATATATCTATATATATATATATATATTTATAGAAAATATGAAACCCAACAAACATGTGTTGTTAAAAATGCGTGGGATTGATTATATCTTTGGTTTTTGTGCCAGATTTATATTGTATGTAAACATTCTACTCCATGTAACTGAGCATTGTGAACAAATCACCACTGCCATTTGTCCTTGATTTCTATTTTTTGATACAAAAATTATACTTTATTCCATATCCTTATTAATTTTTGCTAATAATTTCAATTCCAATAGTGCAACTGTAGTTACCAAATTTAAATACGTAATACAGTAAATTCACCACATTAAGTTAGGTGGAATGTCCAAGGCATTAACCTTGACTCTATTATTTGTAAATATAATTGCATGTTGTCTATCTCTCTATCTCTCTCTATATATATGTATGTATAATACCATTACTCATCATTTATTTTCCAACATGGTACTTGTTTTAGTGATATGTAATGTATAACATTATGTAATGGCTGGATATATAATTTCACAATGAAAATCAGATTTGCGTATTAGTTATTTGTCTGTTTCATCTTTGTGAAATATGTTATAAAAGGAGTAGCATGCCATATGTGAAATAAATGCATTGGTGTTATCAGAGCAAGGAGTGCATGTACAAATACATCCTCACCCACCAATCACATTACGGAAGTATTTTGTATTCTCCATTGAAGTCACTCATCTTGGTTTCGACAACGCCTTTGTCACCACAAGAGCAAAAAATAGTGACCATATCGCACTTAACATAATTTACAACAACAACTAACAAACAAACAAACTTTTTACTTGACACGCAAGCATGAACTCAAATCCGTGCATTCTCATTTGTTTCTTTCTCAGTACAACAAAAACCAACGATACACACAATTTTTTTCCTCCAAAAAGCATCACACTTGAGCGGTGATTACAATCGTAACTTACAACTTTCCTGCAGGCTTTGGATACATAAGCGCATAAATAATTATCAAGCAATAGTGAAGTGGGCAAGGCACAGTAGGTTCGCTGAATGTTGTTACTGTGGTGGGGAAGCATTGTGTGTGCAGGAATGCAGAGCTCGGTGTGTTACGGTGCTCGCGTGCGGCACAGCACGCGGTGATGAAATGAGGAGGAGTTGTGTCGAGGAGTGAGCCAATGATGCCGCAAGTGGGTGAGACAGAGTGTGTGATTATGTAAGTTGTGGCCTTTCTGTTACCCAATGGTCGTGAGAGCAAGAAGAATGCCGTCATTTCGGGGCTGGGCGACGCTGGAGCAGGAACCGTGGGTGGGAGATGCGCAGCTGCGCTGCCGAGTCTGCACGCTCGCCCCCACATCGCGTTATTCATTGATCGGTGCTTTGACCCACCTCCAGGTTTAGGTTCGATGAACGTTCGTTCGCCACTGACCGCCGGAATCACCACTCTAGATCCGTTATCAGCCACTGAAAGCGCGGTTCCTCGGGGCTTTTGACAGGATCCCTTTTGCCTTTGCTGCCGTTTACCGCGTGTGGGAACCCTTCGTCGTCGGGATTGGAGAATCGTGAATCGGGATACACTGGACGCGAGGCTTTTTTTTCCTTTTTCTATGTTTTTTGGCCTCCAAGTTTACTTAATTTTGTTTTTTTTCCTCGTCTCGCAACTAGTAGCTTCGGGATTTAACGGGAAGTGTGCTTTATCGTGTCAAGGAAGTAGATGAGGTGAAGTTAGAAACTGAGGATTCACGTTAGCATTGTAGCTGTCCGGGAAGTGCCGATCGGTAGTGCCCACTCATCGTCCTTTGCTGGATTTAGTGAGTACGGTAAGAGTGGATGTTGTCAGCAGGGAGCAACGTTCTTGTGCCAGAGAGCCCATGAGTTATTTAATTATTTAATTATTAATATTTTAATAATGATCATCTGTTGTACTTGCTGCAGGGTTTTAAAGCATGCCTTCACTTGTGGAGCATCCCTTGGACTTTAGGGCATCAAGTGTGTAGTTGTGTCGCAAAGAGCAAATACACAGAGGGTATGCAAGATTGTTTGATCCATGATTAAGCTCCAACTACTAAAAAAATAAGATATGTCACAACGAGAAGCATTTTGTGTTCCTTTGAAGGCCAACAGTAACATAATTGTATAGCGTTCTGCTATCTGCAACGTCGAAGACATTTCGAATGGAGCCAGAGAATTCGTTTTATGATCCATTGCTGACCTTGCTGCCAAAACTACAATCAATTGGAACTACAGGACCACTGTGGTGACCTTTTGGATTGTTGGGGCTTTGAATCTCGCACACTATATCGTGTTGGTCGCAAATATCTCAATGAACGTAGCGGCTCATCCCCAAGCACTGGATTATCAACAAAGAAGAATCCAACTGCGATGGTTCTGTGTCGTTCTATCTCAACCAGCAATAAGATCGGAAGTCCATTACTCTCCAATTGCCAATATGCGACAGTTTTAACCCTTGCATGAATCGAGCCGACTCAACCCGTTTGCATGAGGAAGGTCGAGACAAAACGATCATGTCCCGACCACAACGGATGAGCATGCGTTTCTTCATGGTTTGGTACCAGTAAGTTTTGCTTTTTTCCATAGAGGCAAAAGTGATTCTCTCGCCGCGTTAACCTTCTGAAATATTTAACAGAACCTCAATTCTACAACCTTCAACTGATAATAAGATATCCAAATCTCCTGCCGTCAGAGTCACCGTCTCTGACTTTACCTTCTTGCGCAATGCCTTGAAGTGCTCTTTGTTTCTTTTCAAAATTATGATTGCCCTCTGCCCAATTGGATTCGTTCTTCTTGTCTGCCCTTGCCCACACAACGAAGTTCATTCGAAAATTTCAGGTCTTGCTTTGTTGGAGTGAAGGCAACACATGTTCGTTTCCAAAACTGAAGAATATTACACTTTTCAAAGACGTCTATGTGATCAACTGAGTTCATGAGCTTAATGAGCATGGCGCACTCTTCCAATTGAAATCCAATCACATTTGGTTGTCGACGTACGAGACCTGCAGTTTTCCTCCAACTATAGTAATGGACTCCTACTGTCACAGAAAAATAATATCCTTGCTCTATATTACTAAAAATAGAAGAAGGTCCTCCTTCGGCAAGATTTGCTCAACTCCAGATCACCACCAATATGCACACACAACAGAGTAATTCAGCATGAAAAAACCTTTTGAATCAGCTTCAGTGACGTTTAAAAGTTGCTGTGTTACACAGCAGTGAACAGTTCCTTACATCATACAAATATGTGCGATGATAGCATCGTTCTTCACATTTACAACATCAACGTCAACCTGAATCCTCAAAATTCGAGCATGACTTGAAGCACTCTGTCGAGTTACGTTATTCTAGTGAAGCTCAAATGAAACGATGAAGTTTGTACGCATCATCGACCAGATTAAGCTTGGTCCATTTCGGCGTTGTAATATAATGGGTTAGATTCGGTGCAGATGGTTCTGACTGGGCAAAGGCTTTTCCAAGAACCGACCTGCCAATCATCAGAGATGGTATTTATGTGAGGAAGAATGCATCGTTTCTGGGACGTCGGTGGTTAGCTACCACTCGATACTGAAAGGTTGCATCAGCATTTCGTGGGTTCTAGTCGAAAGCTTCGAATGCTTGTGATTGAAGATTCTTTTCGAATATTTTTAGGTCTTTGAACAAATGGGTATCTGGTCAGGGTTGAGACCTGGGTTTTAGGACGATGGTCGGGTGCCGTTTGCTTTCAGAGGAGCTGCGTGTTTGTTGAGAGACGTAGGTGCTGAGTGTACAACGTCGTCACAATCTCGTAAGGAATTGAATCCTGGCTATGTGTGTGTTGCGGTGCGATGTAGCATTTTTCCCTTGAAGTGTTTCCTGGAGCAAAGAAATGCAGCTTTTTTGAGTAGGAGGTGCGACTGGTGTGCTGGGGCTGATGGGGAAGTGGTTTAGGGTTTTGAGGGCCAACGTGAGTGGAATCTCTTCTCTATGATCTGGTCAATTGAATTTTGACATTGTGTTTGGGAACGAGAGTGTGAGGTGTAGCGGTGTTAAAGACATGTTCTCGTTCTGTAATTTTTTGGTCAGAATTCATTCCATGTTGTGGCTTGTTCGTAATTTAGGGGAATCTGCAGCCATCACGCGCATGCGCACACTGGGGGATGTAATGTCATGGAAGAAATAGACTATTTTAGATGACTTGTTTGCTGTCTTCGATTGAACATTGATAATATAGAGAATGCTTTCTAATGAAGCCAACCTTTTGCCTTGCATATCTTCGCAGTATGTTAATTCCTCCTGATCAATTTCGTTATACTGCATCTTTCTCAGCATAATTTACACTAGTTTTTTTTTTTTTTTTTTTTTTTTTTTTTTTTTTTTTTTTGTAAAATCCTCCTTTCCATTTTTTAGGATTGTAATGCAGTTTGATGCTTTAGATTATTTTGGTGGCGTGGTGGAGTTTCGTTTGACGTTGGATGATATTTCCATTTCCATTTATATTGGCTATTTAATCTGTATTAGGTTTTTTACTTGTCTCGGGACTTTGAAAATTATTGTCTGAACCACTCCAGTGTGTACTCTTGACAGGTCTAATTTCCCAGAAGTTGGTGACCATCTGATATGTGTTCACTTACGACGGTTGGGTTTCACATGACCGCTGTGAACAGTGAGCATTCTCGGTAGTTCTCATTTAGGGAGGTTGGATTGGAAGTCATGGCACGTAGCGAAGCTGTAGAGAAAGGGAAAGGATCCAAAAATCGACTTGGTTCGAAATTTTTTGGTGTCAGTTCTAACAGTGCCGAGAAGATCCCGCCACTTTCATCACGTCAAAAGTCTTCAAGAAAGAGAGCTTTGGATGAAGTGATCGAAATAGATGCGGAGGATTGTTGTGATGCCAGCACAGAGAAGAGAAACTCTGTCATCAATGGATCATCACGGAAAGTCATTCGTATTGATCCACCAGAGAGGGAAGATGGCCATGATTACAAGGTCGTGGAGGGTCTTGGAACAAAAAATTCCAGGGTTCCGGAATCGAGTATACAAGAATTTGGCAGCAAGCTATCAGACGTATGTGATTCTCAGAAGTCCCAGATTCTCCTAAGCAAGTGGAAAAGATTACCAAAAGTCTTAGATCATCAGAAAAGATCCTCAGATAGGAGTTTAAGAGGAAGTCTTGAAAGCTTCTCTGAAGAAAAAGATCTCCTTGCAAATGATGTAGGACCAAGTTCGGCTGCGGAGGAACGCAAATTTGGAAAGCAGGAGAAAATTAGGGAACATGAACTGATCCGAAAGGTCTTGCGAACCGCTCATTTGGCAGAGGAGAATGAGAGGGCTATTGAACAGGAGGAAGATGCTATTCTGTTGGAGAAAGATACTGTAAGCATTTCGTCAAGGTTGAAGCCGAGAGCTTCGACCGATAGGGACAGAAAAAGAAGAGCTGGCAAGGGAGATGCATCACCACCAAAGCAAGAACAGAAAAAGCCACGCATTGATGTTGTGACAACGGAGGGATCATCTAGGAGTGGTGAGCTAAAAGTAAGAACTAGTCTTACAAACACTTGGAAGCGACTAAAGAGAGAGAATACAAGAAACAGGCCTTCTGCTTCTATAGATATGGGAATAAGTGTTTCAGAGGCTTGGAAACGATTGCGGGAGGAGAAAGTCACTGAGACGTCAGGTAGCTCGTTGAATGGGCGGTCGGACAGTGACTTGTCCATGCGTTCGAGTGACTCGGAATCAGACATGTTCGAGGAGCGATCGAAGAAAGCTCGCTACGACCTTTCATTACCATGCCAAGGTAGAGAACAAGTTTGTAAGATTAGTGAGCCTAAAGAAACTCCCCTCAGAAAAAGGTTACGACAAGGCAGTGAATTCAGGTCCTCAAGTAGCTCTGGAAGCCATGTAGCACACTCTTCTTACCTTCACAATAGAAGGTGGAAAAGGCCCCGGTTTGAGGATTTGATGTCCATGAAAAGTGGGTCCTGGAAAAGGCAAGACAGACAGCTTCAAGAAGCTGCAGAGGATTCCGGAGAGAGTTCTAGAAAAAGGATTCAATGTGATACACCTGAGAAGCCCAGAAAAAAGCAACGGAAGTAGGCATGAATTATTATATTCTGATCTCAAGTTACAACTCCTGTGGTTATCCCTTGGTTCAGAGTGATGAGGAGGTACGATTGTCACTTAGCCACCTCGAAATGCTGGAACAGTCTTGCACTTGTATGTTTGATACTTCTACTATTCGGAAGTTTCACTTCAGATAGCGTCTAGGTTTCGATTTCTTTTCGGCATTGTGACAGTTCGGCAAGAGCTTTTTATCATTTTTGAGGTACAACTTACATTCTTTTGGAAAACATTTAAAAAAAAAAAAACAGAATCACGATGATCAACTTTTGTGTGTATGTGTTCTACTTTTTTACTTGTATTATGTGTATATAGCTCATTGAGGGGTTTGATTCGTGTAATGTTAGTAACAGCCATTTCACCACAGATTGAGTTTTTCAATGAATACTTTTTAAAAATTTGGAAGAGGATATTTTTTTCATAAATCTTTTCTGGGTACACAATGCTATCTTTAAGACTTCAGTGGTGGTGTGAATGAGAACATACACCTAATCCAGAAGTTTAGCTATAAAATCTTCAAATCTAACACCAAATACACCTAGACTTTGATTCTGAAAAGCTTGAGGTAAACTTAGGATGTATAAAAAAGTTTAGCTTTAAAATCTTCAATTCTAACACTAAATATACCTAGAGTTTGATTCTAAAACGCTTAAAGTGAACTTTTGATGTATAAAAATAAAGCTCAAATTCATTCATTAAAGAAATACATTAAGCATAAGATAAAGAAAGGATTGAAATTGGTATTTGTGCATTCAGGACAGCATTGACAAGGCATTGTAAATACTTCGTGATTCTTCTTTTGTCAAGTTTCAAACAATTTTTTGTGAATATTCAAAAAATACAATAAACATATGGAATTCTAAATACAACCAATAAATATTAATATAATTATACATCACAAGTATTAATTTTAACTTTCATTCTAATATTTCTAAATGTGCCTTCAAATAATAAAGATATATTTTGGTTCTAAAATAACTACTTAATCTAGTTAATCAAAGAGATTCATAAAAATTGTTGACTTTATATACATATATATATATATATATATATACATAAATATATAAATACATATACATAAATATATGCATACACATATACATAAATAAATATATACATAAATAAATAAATAAATAAATATATATATAAATATATACATAAATAAATAAATAAATATATAAATATATAAATATATACATATATATAACTATATACATAAATATCTAAACAAATAGAAATACATAAATATATAAATATACACATATACATAAATATATAAATATATACATATACATAAATATATAAATATATACATATACATAAATATATAAATATATACATATACATAAATATATAAATATATACATATACATAAATATATAAATATATACATATACATAAATATATAAATATACACATATACATAAATATATAAATATACACATATACATAAATATATAAATATATACATATACATAAATATATAAATATATATATATATATATACATAAATATATAAATATATACATATACGTAAATATATAAATATATACATATACGAAAATATATAAATATATACATATACATAAATATATAAATATATACATATACATAAATATATAAATATATACATATACATAAATATATAAATATATACATATACATAAATATATAAATATATACATATACATAAATATATAAATATATACATATACATAAATATATAAATATATACATATACATAAATATATAAATATATACATATACATAAATATATAAATATATACATATACATAAATATATAAATAAATACATATACATAAATATATAAATATATACATATACATAAATATATAAATATATACATATACATAAATATATAAATATATACAGAGACAGAAAGATATAAAGAGATACAGATAGAGAAAGAGAGAAAGAGAGAGAGAGACAGAAAGAGAGAAAGAGAGAGAGAGAAAGAAAG